ATCTGGTAGGATGTGCATTTTGTACAGCATAGATGATCAAATCTAGTCCAATCTGTCACTCATAACAGCACAACTGTATAAGCCTCACTGAATAGTTTACATATTTTGAAATTAAGATTGGCTCTTGGGCTGATGCCATATCCACAGGCACTCAAGTCTCCTTTTGGCCCTTGAGATGGCTACCAGCCAAACTGTGGCACTGGTAGTAGCTGTTGAGCTCAATTGTCTGATTTAGGGTTAATCACAGCAGCCTGGTTCTTTCAGTGCTGAATCATCAGGGGGAAAAAATGTAAGCTTGGCAGTAAAATATGTATGTCCTGCATTGTAGATTTTTGAGCTTGCTTTTGCAAATTAAAAGCAGAAGTGTATATAATAGAGAAGACTCAGAAAGCTTGAAATGGATTTTCTCCTCTTCAAGCAGTGATTTTTATGCATAATCTTAAATAGAAACTATACTAGTGAAAGGACTTTTGTACCTCTGGTAGAATAGAGAAAGCATAAAAATTGAAAAGATTGTTCAGGATGAGGAGGAAAAAAAAATCTCTCTGGATTAACCTGTCCATGGATGTGACTATGAGACAGCAACACTATCATCCTCTGAGATCAGGGAAATGTCTGCTCAAAAAATGGAAGAGGTTTAGGTTCTGCCAAGCACTCCGGAAGCAGGAGCTGTCAAGGAAATCTGAAGTTCTGAGAAACTCTCTGAATATCATTGTCTGCTGTTTCTCTTATGAAAGAGAAGGGGCTGATGAAGCTCCTGCAGCACGCATTGCTGGAGCTTGCACAGAAGCGGTGGGCACGCTGCGGGTTGCTTTGGCAGCCCCAGGCCTGTGAAGTTGAGCGTGCAGCTCCACGAAAGCCTCGCCGAGGTCCCTGCTGCACAGGAGGCAGGCTCTGGCCCAGATACGTGCATTTATAAGCTACACTTACTTATAAATAAGTACAGGCGCTGGAGAATTATCTTTGGCCCTTGCAGAGCCGCACCCTGCAAGACATATGCAAGCATTGGCATTAGGAAGCAGGAAACGTCCAGACACCACATCAGCACACATGCACATTTAAGACCTGCTTTATAACAGAGCCTTCCCCTCCTGCTTTTATGTGCATTAACTCCCGATATCCTGAAAGCTTGAGGTGCTTCATTCCTGCATGCTTGCATGGCAGAGAGGTGGCTGATGTGTGGGTCGCAGTAGCTCGTACGGGGCTCTGGTGGGGGTGGACTTTCTCATGGGTCTCCTCTGAGCACGGGATGCAGATTGGAGCCCCATCTGAGCATCATTGTAGTGCTAAGGCTGCTCTGCTGCTCCTTGAGGACACAGACTAGGCATTGCTGGCAGCACGGTGGCATGTTGCAAATATAGAGGACTTGGATTTAGCAATAAGAGGAGGGAGTCTACAAGTGGGACTTGGTAGCTTCAAGCTGGTGAGGAATAGCCCAGCACAAAATAAATGGCTAAGCTTTATCCTTTGACTTCTGTAGAGCTGTGTCAGTTTATCATATACCAAAGGATGTACCTTAAGTTGCTATGGAAAAGACACCTGCGTAATCAAGTGTGGATTTGAGTTCCGCATCTGAAAAATAAATCTGTGATCTCCAAGCCAAAGTGTTGTTAGTGGGTATTAGCCTTTTGCCTAATGAATTGCTTCTCCTTACAAATATTGTAAAAACAGACTGTAGGGGATAGGTAGCTGACAGTCTGAAACCAGAGCTGTCTTTACCTCTCACATCAATGTCTGTTAATGTCTGTTCCTGCTCACAAAATGGTCCAGCTTTCTAGTGAATCCAGCTATGGCATATGACTTAGTAATTTTTTGTGTGTCTCTTCCATCAGCTGTCCATTCCTGCATGGCACCTTTCCTTCTAGCCAACTGGACAGAATAACTGCTGCTTTTTGGAGAGCCAGAGCAGAGGGAAGCAGCAGCACCGTGCCCAGTTCCAACCTGCTGTATTTTCCCTTTGGTTTTCTCTGCTTGTTCCAGCTGTTAACCGGAATATGTTTTCCTCCAGCTGAATAAGCAGAATACTGAGACACCATTGGGAATAGGTTTATGCCACGTATCAAGCTGACTGATGGGGATAGCACTCCTGCACCATAATAAGATCCTGGAAAATTGTGTATGCCTCACTTGCATTATTTGATCAGTTTATGTCAGAAAATGAACAAAAAGGACATTTATATCAGAGCCACAGAGCCAGCAAGAGTCAAAGGTGGCTCTCATCTTAGACAGGATGTGAGAAGTCACAGAAAGACCATTCAGACTCCCCAGATGAGCCCACTGATAATTTCAATAAAAGCACATGACCCCATAGCAAAAATTAGAGTAGTTTCAATACTGTCATTTTCTGCTGAGGAGAAAAAAAAAAACACTAAACATTTCTTAGCAACCCTTCAAGGTAATGAAGGGGATATATTGCTAACAACTCTGATTATAGCCAGAGATAATGTTGCCCTGATGATTGGGATTTAGCTTAGCTCCAGGCTGTCCCATCCACGCCAGTTTTCCCCCTCTGTATGAAACATTTGTTTGGATCCAGAATGGGGCAACAT